ATTTCTCAACAAAGAACTTTCCAACTAGTAGAAAATGTATGTGTTATACGTCTGATATGGATTCGGATTGGAGATGCTCTAATTGTATTGTCGTAATATGTAGCATGTATGCTCAAGGTCATTAGCGGAAGATTAACATATGTAGGACTTGTATAAGGTCCCCATTCCACATATCTTTCACACCATGGTTCGATTTGCACTTTGCATTCCCACCTTGTGCACACGTTGGGGGAGGGGGGGGAGAGGGACATGGCCCTTTGGTCTCTTTCAGTTGAAGATGGCCTAACCCCCCCCCCTTTCAGGCAATCGCCGTCCTAAAGTTCTGCAAGAAATTATTTTTTTAATAAACAATGCTAGACCATATTTTATATCATCTTCAACCGAGGGTGCCAAAAGGCCATCCAAAACATAGCCCTTGACAAAAAAAAAACCCATCTCCAACTGAAGGGGGCTATTTTTTAGCCCCCTCAATAATTTATTATTTTAATTGAATTAATATGGTTAATTGAATTAAACTACTATATTAAAATAAGGTTTTCAGACATATTTTGAGTGTCATATGAATTGGTGAAAAGGATGTGAGAAATGGGGTTGAAAGGGCTTAGGTAGGTTTTTTTTTTTTGATTTCGTCAAAAAAAAAAAAAAAAGAAGTCAAATCCAACAATAACCTGATGTCAGCATGACGTCAAGTAGCATGTGTTTGGGCTGGGCTATAGGGTTGGCTGGCTGCTCTTGGCCAGTTCTCCAATTTTTCGTCGGGTGGGGCCCACGAGCCATTTGCTCTAGCTCTCGGTTGGAGACAATTTTCGGGTCAAAACAAGCTATTTTTTGGTCTATGGCCCTTTGGCCGGGTCGGTTGGAGATGGCCTTATAGGGTGACAAGGGCATGGGTAGAACCATAAAGGGACCAGAATGGTCCTTGATCTATCCGGCCTTTTTTTATTCTTGTTACCCTAATAGATCATGTTGTTATTGTATATAATTCTGATACGTATTCTCAATCCAATCTTTTTTCCATTCCAAGCCATGCCTCATTTTTCTCACCATCCCTCTTATTGTTGTGTATATTTCACTTTCCCTCCGTATTCTATCAACTTTTCTTTAGCTCAATTATATTTTAAAAATTTTCTTACTTTCACTTTACCTTATATTCGAGTTTCTGGAGATTTGTACAATGTTTTTAGTTATCTTTGTTGATTTTAGGGTCTTTTAATTTTTATGCAAATTACTTCAATCTCTCATGTTTTGAATTCAAATTACATATTGTGTGAGAGACCTTTCTTTCTTGTACACATGAAATCCTAACTTTGCCACTAACCAAGGGAGATGAGTAGGGCAAGATTGGGAGGAAAAGATGGGGGCACCCAATGAGTACACATGAAATTCTGCCCTTTAAAAGGCTACACACGTATCTTTGATATGTTGTGTTAGAACCAACAACTTTTTTTTTATTTTTTTTTTATCTCCACAAAAATGCTCATCCCATTGACATACTTCTCACCGCCACGGGATGCTCCCAAATCCAGCCACTCCCTCCACGCCATGTATTACGATAAGTCCCACGTTCCCGTGTAAAACACAGGAGAAGCGCTTTCTGTGTCCTTGTTCCTCTTCGTTACTTGGTATCCCACCCTCTTCGCCCGCCACGCGTCCACTCCAAACTCCTTTCCGTTGAGTCGATGGGCGATGACCGCCACTTCTTATCCCCCAAGTCAACGCCGTTAGCTATCTTAGTTCTTCAACAGCCACGTGTCCGTCATCCCTAACAGAGATCCCTCTCCGTCACCCCCTCCTCCGGGTCCCGCTCGTCACCGACTCACCTTGCTCCTGTCCTTTTCGGGTGGAGATAATAACACTCACCAAAAAGCGACCAACCGTGACCTCCCTTTTCGTAGGATTCGGACTCCGTCTTACGTCACGCCACCCCGGTTAAATCCACAAACAAAAGTGAAATTCAAATAAATTATGAGGATTTTAACGAAAGATTTATGGTACTGTTTATTTTTAACGAAAAATTTAATTTTTGGTTTTTTTGGTAATATTCATTGCACTTTTATTTGTTATTTTTATTAAAACTAAAGTTTTTTTTTTTAGACTTTTTGTTAGTTTTTCTATAAATTATGGTTGCTAATTTCTATTTTTTTTGTTTTTTCAATTAATTAATACTTTATTTGGCAACGCAGTGAAAAAGTGCGCAACATGCTTATCGGGATAACTGCATGGACGAATACGATAAAGATAATGACGGATACACCCTCGACGGATGATCGGATCCATGTTAGAGAAAAACCATGCTTTACATCTAAGAGCAAAGAGCGTGAGGAGAGAGAAAGAGAGGGATTAGTATTATATGGAAGCAAGGAATAAAATAGTGGTGACTTCAATGGCTGGATCTCTACGGTCTACCCCACCTTTATTATTTTATGGTTTTATCCGTAACTGGCTAATTGCTTCTATCGCATAATTTACCAGTGTCATAAATCGAAATGAAAATACGTTGTATGAAATACAGGTTTAAAATTCGTCCATGCCAACTGAATCATTCCATGGTGGATTTCTGCTTCCTATATTTACCTTAATGAATGTATTTTTGGCACTTAATCCTTTTGAATATTTCACACGAGCTATAACCTTCTTAGACAATGAGAATACCTTTTCTATATTATAAAAAGGTTTATTTCTTCCATTACATTCAGAAAAAATAAACTCTTGACCTATTCTGAAGGTAATTTGGTACTTACATATTTGCTTGCTTGGAACAATTTCACTCTCGATCAGATTGAGCTTACAAAAACAGGAAATGTTAGCTTGAGCTTCACACTAGCAAAGATTTGCAGTAGCAGCGCATTCGACTAACCGGTAAACTTTGTTTAATATTTAAAAGTGAATTGGCATGGTATTTTACTTTCCCACATAAATAAAATTCTGGCTCCGTCTTTAAACATGATTTGTACCAGAGCGTGATACGCGTACAATGCTTACGAAAAACAATTGACAAATGAATAATTTCATTTGATGAACAATAATGGACATCGTACACTCAAACAAAACATTACTAAAGGGAGGGCGACACTAGTGTGATGCTTGAGGAAACCAATTGAGAGCTTGAGTTTCTCTTCATGTTAAACAACAGATGAATATGATTTGTACAGATCTCTCCTAATATCACGCAATAAAAAAAAAAAAAACATTCGTACGCAGTAAAGAGAGTGACGCTAGTGCGATGCTTGTGAAAAACAATTGACAGTCGGAGAATTTTGTTTGATACTGGTGCATTGCTTGCGTAATCTTCTGATACTTAAGTTAGACTTTAATAAACTGCTTACACTCTTCTCTCTAAGACCTACTCTAAACTTACTCCAACCCTTGGGGGGCAAATATGAGTTAAAACTCAAAAATCATTTATGGGCTAAGTTTAGCCTAGGATTCCCTCAGTGTTAGTGGGTTAGTAGAACTGGTCCACCATATATGTATATTTTTTTTAGTTTTATATTTATAAATTCATTGAATCTAATGGTTAAAATCTAATTTGATGAAATCCAACGGTAAAAAAAAAAAAAAAAAAAAAATCTAACGGTCCAAATTTTAATCCAATGACTAAAGTAATTAAAAAGAATTTATTTTATGTGTTTCATATTTTTTTCATAGTGTTTCACAAGTTTTATGGTGTCAAATTTTTTAAAGTTAAAATGTTCATAAAATTAAATTAAGATAGTCTACATAATTTTTTCTTTTAAAAAAGTTACTTTAAGAAAAAAAATTAGCTTAAATTCATTCTTTAATAATTTGGGGCTAAAATTTTAATCAATAAGAGTTGGAGTAAAAAAAACTGTTTCTAGGTTAAAACCTAAGGGCCTGTTTGGTATCCCATTTGAAATTTTTTATCATTTCTCAAAACATTTTTTAAGAACATTTCTTGAAAATAATTTTTTTTAAGACTTAGAAACTTGATTGGTTTGCGATTTAAAATTTTTAAATCTTACGACTTAAATTAGACAAGAGAGATCTAAAAAGAGGGGATCGCACGAAAGGGAGAAAGAGGAGAGAGGAGGAAAGAAAGTAAGAGATGATTGAAGGAAAGAGAAAGAAGAGAGATGATTGGACGACATAGAGAGGAAGATGAGTGTGAGAAAGAACCGAGAGAATGAAAATAGCGGATTGGAGGAGAGACGAAAAATGTGAAAAAAAAACAGGAGAGAGAAAGAAGAAAAAAGAGAGAGATAGATTTGGAGTAAGATGGGAGGAGGGAGAGAAAAAAAAAATGAGTAAGTTTAAGTTTAAAAACTCTAAAAATTCAATTTTTATGTTTTTAGAAAATATACTATATTTTATAGTTAGTCTTGAGTTCAGTTTTTTAAAATAGTTACACCAAACAAGTTTTTAAAGCTTAAAACTTGAAAATTATTTTTGAGTTTAAAAAGTTGAATTCAAGTAGAGTACCAAATAGATCCTAAATTTTCTGAACTAAAACTTTTAAATTTTAATCCAAGAATTGGAATGAAGAAACTACACCAATTCATTTTCACACAAATTTTTTATTTTCATAATATTCCCAAATTTGACAAGTAGTTAACCCAATTGGAGAAAAATGAATTATAAACTAACAAAAGGAAGAATCATGCAAGTTTTGAACACCATTGTTTTGTATCTCTTTCTTGGTAACCAAACACCATCCGTTCATTTTTCATGTGGGATAACCACAAATAACTCCCAACGTCTCTTTGGTAACCCAATGAAAATTGGATATTATCGACATAAACTCATTTTCTTCGTGACCCGACGTTTTTATGGATCCGGCTGGCCACAATCAGCCACATGATAGCATAACGCTCCACGTGTCACGATCACATGGCAGTTGGAAAGTGGGTCCAGCCAATAGCGAAGAACCGATCCTATAGGTGGGTTCCACACACCTGTTATAGCCGGTCCTTTAGGTGGGAATTACCGTTAGGTCCGGTGAGAGGGGTCAATGGTACAAGAGGCGGGGGTTTAAGCAATGGTTGGTGGTTTTCAGAGGGTTTTTGGCGATCAGAGGGAGAGAGAAAGACTAGTTTTTTTTTGGTTTTAGAGAGAGAAAAATGGGTGTTGTTTGAACCGGAAGAAAAAAAAATCTAGATTTTCCGGGAAAATATGGGATAGAGAGAAAATGGGTGAGAAAATAGCGTAAATTTCCGTATTATTGTTTGTTTGATTTCTCCGACAATTCCCCGATCTTACATTCGCCTGAAAGTTCTCGAGATTTTTCGATTCTGGGCGTAGAGATTTGAGGTTTGAGCGAAAAATCATTGGCTAGAGGTGAGCATGTTGTAATTTTTTTTGGCGAAAATTGTTCAAGCTTGCGTTTTTTTATTTTTTTTTTATGTACGGTTTCGATGAGCCTTTCCCGAACAGTGTGTTTGGTTGCCGAGAAAGTGCGGAAAAGGGGAGAGAATTGTTGGGTTTTGACGCGGAATTCGACCCACAATATTTTTTTTTTTGGCTATGGGATTTTCCGCTCGGAAATTCTGAGCAAACAAACGGTTCTTGAAAAATGATTTTTTTTTCGTTGATCTTTGTGGACGATCTGATTTGTTTCCAAGGGTTTGATGGATTCGATCTGGGTTTTCCGGTGGGAATTCATAATTTCCATCCCAATTTTTGTTAAAAAATCTCAAATTTCTCTCAGAAATTCGAGAAATGAAGATTCTCTGTTTGTTTTTGTCTGTTGTGGAGAACCAATCTGAATTATGTGTTCTTCAAGGTCGATCTCGGCCGAGGGTTTTAGACCTCTTTATTTCTTTCCTTCGGATTTTCGGATAATTCCCTGAGGATTAAGGGAATTAAATTCTCCAATTTTTCAGAATTTTCCTTTTTGTTGGCTGGATTTTGTATTTAGATCTGTCTTTTGGGTTTTGCAGCGGTTTAAGGACTTTTTTTTTTAATTCATTTTTTTCCTCTTTCTCTTTTTTTTTTTCCTTTCTTTTTCCCGCTTCTCATTTACTCCGTCAAAAATGGCGAATCTTTGGTTCTCCTGACAGGAACTGTTGAGGATTCTATTTGATGGGTTCGATTGTCATTTGTTGTTTCGTGGTATATTTACGGTTGATTAACCTGTTACCTAGTCCCTGGTCTCTGTTTTTTTATGTTAATTCTTAGTTTTTTCCCCTTATTGTTTGTTGTTCTTCCTGGGTTGCTATGTTTATGTTTTTGAAGTCAGATCATGTGGATCTGATCGGAGGTTGGGACATGAAATTATGCTTCTAGGTTGTAATATGGTATATCCTTGTACGTTTTTGGAGTTTTTGTATGCTAAGATGCAATCGAATTTGGGTAATGATGTTCCGAATATCTCCCGGGAATCTATTGATATGCTCCTCGATTAAATGTTGCATGATAGAGTGAATTATCAGAGATCATTTTCTGTGATCCTAATTATTAGTTTGTTTCTGCGAAACTGATTACTTGCATTCATCTGTTTTCAGGACTTAGCTTTCGGATTCTCTTTGGTGGTGGTGGTAGCTCGCGACGTGTATATTAGTTGAAGGGATTAATCTGAGTCCGGGTTCTTTGTAGTTGATGTAAATTTTCGTGGTATGATTTTTAAGATATGGTGATGCAGAAGAGGTTGGATTACGGATTCAATGGCTATCAGGTGCCTGTCACTCCTAAAGCTTCTAGATCAGCAAGGGTACGTGTATCCAACGACTCTTTATGATTTATATTTTACGTTTATGACCTATATGCTTAATGTTCTATCAAATTAATCCATATGCTTAATTTTGGTAACGATTTTTCAGAAGCGTCGTGCAGTTAGAAAGATGGTTGAAGACAATGCAATGGGTGCATTTGACTTGTTGGCGACTGTAGCTGGCAAGTTATTGCTCGAGGGAGAGAGTTCTCCGGCTTCCAGTCATACATCAATCGGAAAAGATCAATGTGCAGGTATTAAGGAGAATTATCTGGCTGGAGATAAAACCTTGAAAGCAGAACCTTGTGATCGAGGCAGTTCTGACAGGATACCTTTGGTATCTGAATATAAGTCAACAGGTCAGAATCTAAGTTCGTGCTCCAAGGCTTCTCCAGTTCATCAGATTGAAAGTCATTCGGTTATGACAACTTCTGATTGCTCGGAGAGGTTTGTTTCTGACATGTTGGCAAGTGGAAAATGCAAGAATGAATTGGGAAGTCTTACTGGGAAAATAGAAGCAGGCTATTCTGGGAACAGGGAGTCTGGTGAATGTAAATTAGATAATGAAGTTAAAGTATTAGTAAAGGATGAGACTAATAAGAGTGGGGAGGTGGTTACCAGTACCGGGCCTGATATGTGCAGTTTTCAGGATCCGGTTGTCTGGGAAGGTGAACCTCCTCCACTACTTAGTTCAGATAGTAGCACCAAGGTGCCTATGTATGTAGACCATATTCCTCAGAGATCTTTCCCCGCTAGCCGGGATGATGTAAAATTAGTTGGTAGAGATGATGACGAAAATTTCTTTGGGTGTACTCACCCTAGTACAGCCATGAAGTATTCAAGGCCAGCTCCGTCGCGTATTGGAGACCGAAGAATACGGAAAATATTGGCTTCAAAATATTGGAAAGTAGCTCCAAAGTCGAAGGATGAGACACATTCTAATTCCTGTAAGTGGCTGCCTCGTACTAAAAGAATTTGTGAGTTTCTCGAGCTTCCTTTCAAAGTTTTAGTAGCAATGCTGTGTAGTTTTGCCAAACTGTTTTCTAATAGCAATCATTATCTTTTTCTGAATATTTAGATCGGGATATGAAACCAAATTACCACAACAGGAAGAATTGCTACAAACGGCAAAGATCTCAAATGAATATGCCTTTCAAGAAAAGGAGGCTTTTTGACCGTAGCACAGTTCCAAATCCTGATCAAGGTATTAGTAGAGAGGGATTCTTTGACTTGCGCGGGAAGGGAACCAAAGGAAATGCTTCTGCTTCGTGTTCAAAGATGCAAGGTCATTTTCAAAACCAGATTCTATTCAATCAATGTGATTATCTTGATGTGTTTTGGAATGTATGAGTTTTTTTACCAAGAAGTATGAAATATTTATGCAGCCACTGGGATGTCTTCTTCGGTAGGAGGTCAGCACTCATCTTTCCAATCAAGGAATTCACATGGTACAAAAAAATTTCAAGAGCACTTGATATGTACACTTTTAATTTGATTGGTGTCTGACATTCCAAGAGATTTTTACAAGAAGGTGATTTTTCCTTTATTCAGTGAAGCTCAGGATCAAGTCGTTTAGGGTTCCAGAGCTATTTATTGAGATTCCGGAGACGGCAACTGTTGGTTCATTAAAGGTATTTCGGGACTATTTTGATTGTGCATCTCCCTCTAGTTTAGCTATGTAGTATACTGGATTTGTTTATATGAGATACGTACGGCACTTTCTCATGGTCTTAGTTTGGGTCCTGATGATGTGCGATTATTCTGCAGAAAACAGTTATGGAAGCAGTGACAGCTGTACTTGGAGGTGGATTATGTGTTGGTGTACTTCTTCAAGGAAAGAAAGTGAGAGATGACAACAAAACTTTACTGCAAACAGGAATTTCTCAAGATGACCATCTAGATTCTGTGGGATTTTCCTTGGAACCCAACCCTTCCCGAACCCCTCCACCTTTATGTTCTGATGGTTCTCCCAGTATGCTTCCTTGTGATGATGTAAAGCCTTTAACAAGGTAGTGCAAATATGCTCTGGTCTCGTCAGTTTTGCACCTCGTTCAGTTTTTTATTTCTTTCCTTGCGTACTAATTCATTACAGATGGCGGTGCTTCTTTTCGCGTTCATTTTTCTCTTTTTCCAATTGAATGCTAGGGTGATTCCGAAACTTTTTTACAACGTTAGCAACTCAGCAGTCAGGTTGTACATATTAGTCTGGTCTAGTGCTATGCAATCTCAATCTCGTAAGATTGCTTTCAGACCAAGACTAGAAAGTTGGTTGCTATTTTGCTAATAATGATTTTGCACCAGGTACCAACCGGGTCCTACTGGCGAACCACTACCTGAGCCTCATTTGGCCAGTTTTGGGAGCTACATTGAAAGTGATCATGATTCAGCACCCTCTCCAACTGATATGTCAGCTGAAAAAAGCACAACAGATTCTAAAGCACTGGTTGCTGTTCCAGATGTGAGTGTGGATGCACTAGCTGTGGTTCCTGGGAACAGGAAATCAAGGCGGTTTGATATTGGACAGCGCCGAATTCGTCGACCTTTCTCTGTTACTGAAGTGGAAGCACTTGTCCAAGCGGTTGAGAAACTTGGTACCGGAAGGTATAAATGATATACGAGCATAAGTTGATTTTGTCCAGCTTGAATTAGTAAAATTTTGCTGCGGTGTGGAGTTTTAATGGTTTTGCTTAATATAGTAAACTGCAAGCTTTCAATAGAAAACAGTCCCTTCTGCTGCGGTGTGGAGTTTTAATGGTTTTGCTTATTTACAGGTGGCGTGATGTTAAACTACGAGCTTTTGACAATGCTAAGCATCGAACATATGTGGATTTAAAGGTAAGGAGTCTATTTGCCAATGATAAAGTTTGAGTACAAACATCGTTTCTTTTAATCTTTTCTGGTTACCTGATTGAGTCCCGGTAAAAGATTTCAAATTTAAATTTCATATCATGTGTTACTTTCACATGGTTTATGATTGCTTCCTCACCATTATATTTTACTAATTTATGAGTCCTTTTGTGCGGCTTGGGCCCGCTCGAGGTACTTAGTTTGATCTGGTCAGTCTGTCAAACAGCTTGCTTGAATTGGAGGCAATGATTAGGCAGTCTTTGTAGCTTTGTTAATCTGCATAACTTTACCTGTTCACTACAACTGTGAAGGAATCTCTTATATTCTGATCTTACACGCATCTCCTAAATCTAACTTTGTCTGTTAAGTACTTTTGCTGCTATGCTTTTTTGTTTTCTGTTTGAAAACTGCTTAAAAAGTGAGGGATGTGATGTGGGTTTGGTTATGATTGTGTCGTTTTTACGGGTTGTGTAGGATAAGTGGAAAACCCTAGTGCACACGGCTAGAATTTCTCCTCAACAGAGGCGGGGAGAGCCCGTCCCGCAAGAGCTCTTGGACAGGGTCCTAACAGCTCACGCGTACTGGTCCCAGCAGCAAGCCAAACAACAGCTCAAACAGCCCGAGACTTGCCTTCTCGTCTAGATGTTCGATCAATTGTGTTCTTTTTGTATCTTTGTTAATGATGTAGAAAAAGTATGACAAGAAAGTAGGAGTTGAAGGATGTTTATGTAATATCAGTCTGGTCCGTCGTCGCTCTTGCCACGGCTCCCTTTCCCCGAACGGAGAGGCCGCCGGCCCTTGTAAATGGATGACAAAATAAGAAGAGAGATGGCTAACTGAATTCTTTAGAAACCCAAGTTGTTGGTTGGTGTTTCCTGATCTTTTTTTTTTCTTTTTTCTGGTAAATGTGTGGTTTGGGTTGTTATGAAGGTCTTAGTTAATGTAATGCTGATTTAGTTGTTAATTTAGGGTTAATGCTAATTCTTGTAATCTTCCAATTTGCATTTCAGTTGCAAATAGATATTATAATTTCAAGGCCATCTTGGTCTTCGTGTATTTCAAATCTACTGTTTATAACCTAAGTTTGATCCCAGCATTTCTATTTCTTTCAACACTTGTTATTCATTCATCGCAACAAGAGAAACTTACTTGCAAATGGGCATCTCACTCTAAAGATATTTTAAGAGAATTACGTGATTGTTAATGGGTTTTAACTTTCTCTGCACCATGGGTTTGAGATATCGATATTGTAACGGGCATATGCCACTTATTGATTTCAAGCCAACCGCACAGTGGTATGAGTTTTCAACTTTTTCATGTGTTCATGCACAATTAATTTAACATACTGCTACTTTGATATTTTCGTTGCAGGAAAATCCTATATGAATAGGCTCAAAAATGATGAACTGCTTAAACTTTTTTTTAAAAAAAAAAAAAAAAATTTTGAATCAAACTTTTGCTAACATGAAGGTGGAACTAATTTATTTAATTTTTTTGTTTCTTTGGGGCCGTGTGGGGTTGTGCAAGTGAATTGTGACGAAAATATGGACCCCTTTAGCCTTTAGGGTACCAAAATAAAATGAGAATCCCACACCCTTCCATCAATATTAATCATTTTTGTGAAGTTTTTCTATTTTATACAATAATACTCTATTTAAAAAAAAAAAATAGCTTAGAGCTAGGCATAACCAGACATTGAACTCAACACAATATTATACATCCTAGCCGTGCAAGTCGAACATAAGATCTTGCATTTACATGTGAAGAAGAATAATACTTGATTATGGTACTAGTAATTAGTTGATGTTTTTAGTAATTTTAGTCCCCAATTGAATTTTGGCAAAATTGAGTCGATGACTTTTAACTGATTTTTGACACAAAGTGCGTCAAAGCGACTTTCAGATGACATTATACAGCATAAGCTTTGTTTATTAAATTTGCTTTTGGGACAAACAACACTATAAATTTTCGATGATTAATTAACTTACAAGTAGTCACAATTTACCATCGAAGTCACTACAAGATACAAATATATATATAGGAGACAGTGACATAAAATTAAGCCTATAAACAAACAATGGGCGGTGTCTAGTTTTCCTAGTAGAAAGTAGAAACCTAAAGACCACTGCTCTAAAAATTTCCGCTTAAGTTCCGTCTTGGTCACGATCTAAGTGGTTGGCCACCACTCAAATTAATTCTTAGGTATTTGAAAATTAAGAAAGAGCGTCTAGACCTGCCTAGGCGCCGCCTATACCCACCTAGGCACTTGCATAGGTTACGACTCTTATCTAAACAAAAAATAAATAACTTTCATTTTGCATTTTATTTTTTCAATAAATTGTAGAGACTTGTTGAATATTTGGATGACCACTCATTATATGTTTGTTCTCTATATTTTCAATATGTTCTAATACTTTAATATAAAATAAAAAATCACCTAAAATCTTATCTGTTATCTGACTAGTGCCTAGCACATTTTAAAACCTTGCTAAAGAAAGAATAACGAACTTGGCCGATTTGAGGCAAAGTAGGGAAGAAGAATACGAGAATATGCCAAGGGCATGTGAATAATTGAGTTGGTATATACTTGATCCTCCTCCAAGTTGTTGAAGACTGTTACTTCACATCATATGTCATTCAAAATAAAAAAATGTTGGAAAAATTGTGATGTTCCCACCTTCCCACAATTTTGCCAAATTGCCACTATTCATTACGTCCATACCTCTCTATATCTATATATCTGTCTCTTTCGTGTAAAGTGTACTAATTCTAAATGGATTGTATGGATAGGAGTGGATATGTGGTTAATATTAATGGGGTTGTCTCTTTGTGCCACAATTCTCATTTACAAGAACCACAAAAGATGTATGGGAATATGACTATCCTTTGCTATAAAAGGCGAATAATGACTTTAGGTTTTTTGGTTTTCTTAAAACTTAAAAATAAAACGAACAAAAAAGTTTGGGGAAAACATGCGGCGAGACATGATTGTTTGTCTGATACGGGTCATAGCACGTTCATACCAACCCTTATGGGTTAGCCATCACCATGGAGGCTAGCTCCACAATGTAGAAAGGGAGGTAGGTTGTTCACAAAACGAACTAAGTTGCAAAGGTCAATTGTGGAGTGATGTAGGTCATGAAAGGCATGATGGTTCTTACTAGGTTCGCTATGGTTGATTCTAGCGTCGAACATCTACTGAACCCAATCGGCATTTTCATTCAAAAAATTGTCAAAAAGTTACCTCAAATCAACAAAGTGGTAGGCACGCTGCTTGACCAACTGTCATAACTTGCATTTGCAAAACCAAACCATAATTTGAGCTGCCAATTTGTGCACATTTCTGTAAAGAGCTTATAAATATTAGGCCTCAGGATACCCAAGTGGCCTGGGCTTGCTTTGTGTATGATAGAATCGGTCGGCTGGATACAAACCAACAAGGGACTTCAACTCAAGGGTTAAGGCTTGTTTGACCATGTAAAAAAAGTGTCAAGCCCAAGGGTCCATTCAATTAGTGCTCAATTTCCTCTTCTTTTTTTATTTTATTCAGAGTTTAGGGTTTAGGATTTAAAAAAAGACATCGATTTTCCAAATTTTTTGAATTTTTCAAAAAAGAGAGTCAAAATTAACATTTTGTTTGGACAGGACAATTTGATAGAACAATTTGACTATAGAAAAAACTTTAGTTGTTTGACCTCATTATATATAATTGAGACCACTTTTCTAAGAGGTGGAAAATAAAGCCGTCTCGTGCCTAATTTTAAGCGAAAGCGATAATACACATGGTAGAGATAGTCGTGCAAATCTGAGAAAGAACATGGGGTTGTAAAAGTTTTTCTCAAATACACACAATTAAATACAAAGATACATTGGACTTGTTGAATTTGTTTGATTTCTTGAGGAGCACTACTAATCTTTTTGACTAGTTGGTAGTATGAACGCAGAGAGAAACCTTCAAGAGAAGGAAAAGGAAAAAAGTGCAAAATCACACGAAAAAAGAAATGGACCAGAAATGGTGAGGTCCCTTACTGAACAAAGACAGGACATGGATCATCTTTGAATCTATTGGTTCTAATCCAACAAATCTTATCATTCGGGCTGTTAAAATTTGATTAAACGGCTAAAGTTATTATAATTTTTAAAGTGAACTCCTGTTTGTAATCGTTGGATTAAATTTCAATAATCCAGATGATGAAACTTGATGGATTAGGATCAATGGATCCGGAGAGGATCCATGTCCAAAATGACAAAGCTGCTAATAGTGACAACAGCACCAAGGGCTTACATTCAATGGATAATCATAATATAACTACTAGTGGCCACTGGGGTATGTGTAAAGTATATGTTTGAATAAAAATAGTAGGCCTGCTTTTGGGAAATGAAAATGACCAGAAGAATTGGGAAGATACATACAAAATAGGGTCCTAAAAAGATTGGATCAATCCCATTTTATATTTACATTTTTGTTTGCATTGTCCTTCAAAATAAAGGGCAATTGAGTAAGATGCCGGGTCGTGTGTTGTGTTGTGTGGTATAATTTGAATTTGTATTGAGAATATAAATTAAATGAAATTGAACAAAGTAATATTCATATATTTATAGTGACAAAGTATGTGAATTTCACGATAATGAATTTAGACAGGAGCGAGGCGACGCAAAGTAAATAGGGTTGATCTAGTTGGCCTTAATTATGCCAACTCATTTAACACAGTTAATAATTAGTTCGTGTTTTAGGTCTTAACACGCCAAACTGGAAAATAACACACTTAAACACTCGTATTTTCTCATGAACCTCATAAGCTGTATCACATGAGGTAATCCCTTTAAATTGAAAATGAAATAACAAGTTTAACCTTTTTGTTTGATGTAAAGATTATATTTCACGCTTTATTTTTAGTTATGAACATTAAAAAAAAAAAATCGTGTCATTATGTGGACCCACATTTAATTATCACGGTTTGCTTGAGCTTGGACAAAATGACCTAAATAATAAAGCTTTTTAATTAAAATGATTTTTGAGATTGACATCTCTTTATTTTGATCCCGATATTTGAAATTAATAGAAGTAGCTCCTGAGTTTGTTCACCGTCAATTATTTTGGTCATTCCGTGATTACCTTGAACTTTTGTCAATCATTTTGACCCTTTGTTTATTAATGAGGGGTATTTTTGTCATTTTGATCCTTATTTATCATAATTTTTAATGCAAGGAAAAATGATTGATGGTGAACAAATTCATGGATCACTTCTATTGATTTCAAATCTTATGAACCAAAATGAAGAATTATGCTAATCTCAAGGACCATTTTGACTAAAAAAGCCAAATAATAATCATGTTGTATTTGGATGGACTCTAATTTTGTTTGTGTCAACACAAATGGCTAAATAGCCAAAATGGTCCATGAGATTGAAAATTAATAGAAATGGTCCCTGACATTGTCCACCATTCATTATTTTGGTCATTCCGCTAAAAACTGTTTGGGCAATTTTCAAAGCTTCGTAACTCAATCATTTTTTAACCAAATTCGACCGATAATATATCAAAATAAATATAGGAAAGTGTATAACAAGATTATACATATTTGGAAGCCCAATGGTTGTTGGAGATGGCCGGAAAATAGGCTCAAAGTTGATTGGTCCGCGGGAAAACTAGAACACTCGCCGAAAACTGGGTGAATTTTAAGCGTTCATAACTTCTTCAATACTCAACGAAATCGAGTGATTCACAAGCTAAAATCATACTTCTCAATGAGATGAAGATAATGGTACCTTTTCCGACAGCTAAGTCGTCGTGGTTTGGCCGGAAAATGGTTCAAAAGTGGCTAATTCAAGAATAGTTAGCCATTTCGAGCCATTTTCCTGCCAAACTACGGTGAATTAGCCATCAAGAAAGGTACCATTCTCTTTGCCTCGTCGAGAAGTATGATTTTCATTTTTAAATCACTCGATTTCCAGCCATCTCCGGCAACCATTGGGCTTCCAAATAGGTATAATCTTGTTCTACACTTTCCTATGTTCATTTTGATATATTATGAGTCAAATTTGGTTAAAAAACAAATGAGTTACAAAGTTTTGAAAATTGCCCAAAGAGTTTTTAGTGGAATGACCAAAATGATGGATGGTGGACAATGTCAGGGACCATTTCTATTAATTTTCAATCTCAGGGACCAAAGTGATGTGTTATGCAAATCTCATAAACCATTTTGACTATTTAGCCCAACACAAACCAAACACATAGCCCTCAGAAAACATTACAGATAAATAAAAACCTAATTGAAAAAAAAACTCAATGCTTATAATTGGGAATACAACATTAGGACGTAAATCAAAAGCAAATGGACCTTGAACCCTAAACCCCAAAGAGAAATTGACTCAAACTATTTCCAACGTTTTGGGAATGAATTTATATAAAAATGCCCTTTTTCTAATTCGTGAAGCATCGTGCATGCCGGAAATTGTTACCTCTCTAAACTAGCATGCATGCATGCATATCATTTTTTCTCATTTCAATTTTGAGAAAAGGGAAATAAGGGGCTTGTGATCGACTCTCACACATGCAAACCTAACCCAACCATGAGATGATATTGATGATGCATGCACGTTAATCTTATATATACATGAGTTGCCAACCAAGCCTCCCTAGTAAAATCATACGACAGCTTTTGAGATCTTTTCTTTTTTATTTACAATATCCTTCTGTTTCTGGTGCACACTACGCATGGGACGAAGTTATCTTCAAGATTCTCCACTGATTGACTATCTCCATCTCAATCAGTGTACTTGTACGCTCTAAGTTTGTATCCAAGCAGGCTTCAAAGTTTGAACCTTGAATATACAAATACTAAACAAGAACGCTTAACTGGTAAGTTAAGTAATATCTATATATTTATTTGAGTCTTGGGGTTTTATGTCATCTAGTGATTAAAATTTTATGATCTTTCACTGTCAAATTTGGTAGTAATCAAATATTTATGATCTTTCACCATCAAATTTGGTATCATGAGTGGAGATAAACACTAAAACTGCCACCTATCATTCTTAACCTTTGACATTCCATGATTAATTACCAGGTGATTACAAGAACATTTCTAATATTTATTCATTGAAACGATAAAACTTTTGTACGAGTTATATTAGTAAATCCCAAGTCAAATATTAAACAGAAAATTATGGTACTCGATCCATTAAGATAAGCTAAACTAATTCTTGATCACCAATTATACACACACATTATAGGGTTATTTCGTGGTAGTTTACTACTTGGAAAAAGTTACAGTTGACACTCAGACAGTTCATATTTAATTATATATATTGTTTGTTTGACAGATGATCAACGCTCATGCAATCAAACCTCAGACCACACAACTATCAAATTTATCCTTGTCCTCATTGTTTCTTTTTAAATCCCATTGCCTTCGACCGACCCACAATTAATTTTAGGTTAAAAGTTACTATTTAAATGAACCTTTGTAATATACAATCCATCGTTTTGTTGGATGATCGGATTAAGAATATCTGATGCGATTCGCTCAATTTTAGACATATATTAGCACATGCATGCCAAGCAAAATCTAGGAGATTTAGAGGAAAAAAAAAAAAAAAAAAAATTAAAAAACTGATCATGTGATATGATCACAACAGGGGCAAGAGGTCTCCACTAGAGATTATGGTATCTGGAAAAAGTATTGTGTATGTCGTACTATTACATGACGTGTTGACGTGATGTTACTACTTTACATAAGTATGTAAAATTCTTCTTATGTAAGTTGATTAAAGACAAGAATGTTAGATGCACACGAAGACACTTAATTTACGAACACATGAAGTGTCTACTATGAAGTTGGCTTCATGGTGGATATGTTTAAAATGGATGGACTAATAAACTTCTAAGGCCTTCTCCAATCCTGGGCTAAAACTTAAATAGCAGTAGAGCACCCATTAGCTAGTATCCGAAATGCAGATGTGAGCTTCTGATGAGGTGATAGACTTTGTCAGCCGACTGCATCTATCTTCCTTGCAAAGTAGTCCTCATCTGAAACCGCCTTCGAAAATCATGAGAAGAATATCTCGGATGTTCGATGAAATAATATTTCATCATCTGGTCATGACATTCTTCTGTATCACGTTGTACAAATGAACGCCCCGTGACAGAACCACGATAGCTAGATTCGGCATGGTGCTCATATTCCATAAGCGAGTTTACAAATTCAGCTTCTTCGTTGTTCATTTCTGCATCCCCAGTTGCATGGCTTGCTTGGTATTGTGTCATTTGCATTGCCAAGCTACGCCTTCTATCACCCATTGATGAGATATTGATGATTTTTAAGAAACAAAAACACTTTGAAAGTTGGAAGATTGGTGAATATGTTGTGTGATGGTTAGATATTCAACGTATGCTTATATAGAGGATGATTGAAGGCTTGAGTTTCATGTGTGTAGGTTTGTGTTTCATACGTTTCATGTATTTGGTATGTGTTTCGTGTGTGTCATGTGTTTCACATGTGTTCTGTGTGTGCTTCATCTCTATCATGTGTTTTGTATGTCCTTCACATGTGTATGTCCTTCACAGGTGTTCTGTGCGTCATTCACATGTGTTTCATGTATTTTGTGCTTATACATCTCTATCATGACTTTCATATTCTTCCATAGTGTTTCACGTATTGATTTCGTGATTTTTCAATATTTATCGGAATTTAAATATTTTTAGATTAAAATGTTCATAAAATTAATTTACAATAGTCTACATAATTTTTTTTTAAAGTTAATTTAAGAAAAAAAATTAGTCTAAATTCATTCTTTAATAATCTGAGGCTAGAAGAATTGGAGTAGAAAAATTATTTCTGTGCTAAAAATTTTAGATTTTAGGCCAATGATTGAAAATGGTATAACAATGTGCAAGATGTTCCGAATCTACATTTTCATTTTCTAGAGGATGTGGTCTCTACACATGGGTAGTCAAATCAAAATCAAACCTTTACAATCACATTTAATATACACTATAGAAACCTTTGGCACCATTAAACGTTGGCCTGCAGTTTTCTAGATCTACTAATATACTGTTGGTTTAAAATGGATAGACTAAAAGAGCTAATCTTTCTATTAAAAGAACATCAGTGGATCTACTAATATACTGTTGGTTGAATGATGGAGCCATCAAAGTTTAGCTTGTTAAAACCTTCAATCGGAGGTTTCCATTTGATAATAGGTTGACAAGGGCCTTCTTGGCAGGAACAACTATCATTTTCTGTCTACGAAGAACATGAATTTTTAATCCCTCATTTATTAGGAGATCATGAATTGAAATCTTATATAAAAAAACAACTAAAAATTGCTTCGTTTTTGTTTAATATTTTTTTAAAGTACTATTTTATTTAATATAAATCGGTGATAGTCTGACAACTTTTTATATGCAATCCCATTACCATATAAAGCGGTAACGTATTTTTAAATCAGAGATTTAATAATATGTCAAAGTAAAAGTGGTGGAAAAAACTTGGCTGCTGAAAAATTCAACAAGTTCAGCAACCAATCCTACTTACATCCAATCACAAAAAATTAAAATTTGAATACGTATCTATCCATGATTAGATGTAAGCAGGACTGGTTGCTAAATTTTCAGCAACCAAGTAGTCTTCAAAGTGGTTAGCCAAATAATTCAAACTTGAGTTGAGAGTTCAAAACTTTTGGTTGCTCGGTACTCCATCAACCCCTTCGGGTTCCATTCATAACCAGAAAAAAAAAATTCCACTTGGCATCATCGTTTTCCTTTTGAAAAAACATGAGAAAAAGGTGCCACAAGGTTAAAAACCATTGGTCAACTTAACGCTTCCACAGCTTTACCAATTGCCTGAGCTGCAACAAAAATGCCATGAAACCACGCTGTGTGGCGCCTCCCGCTTCTTGACTTCCACACCCTCCGCCCGTTCTCCCCACTTTGGCCTTCGTCTCTCCTCCACCACTCGTTTCTCCGGCGATACCTCAACCAAGTAGTGGATTGGGGTTTCTCTGTTCTCTCTCAGGTAGGCAGATTCTTCACCTCAAATCCCAAAGTTTCAATCTTTCGCTCTTAATTTCCTCAATTTTCACCAAACTCGATCTGGGTTATCGTCAATATTCTCAAAATTTGATTGCTATGGATCCAAGTTCTTATCAACTGCCCGATTCCAATTCCAATTTCATCGACCAGACACTTTCCCCCAATTTCAATGAGTACCCAAGCAGCGATCCCTTTGTGGATCTTAGCTTTCTGTGCCAAAATCCCAGCAACTCTGCTCTGTCTCCGAGCTTGAGCCCCGAGGGAGATGACGGTGACTACTCTGACAGTGTGCTCAGGTACATAAACCAGGTGTTAATGGAGGAGGATATGGAGACAAAGCCCTGTATGTTTCATGACCCCTTGGCTGTCCAAGCCGCTGAGAAATCTCTCTTTGAGGTTCTTGGTGGGAAGTTTCCGCCTTCTCCGAATCAGCATCCGCATAATTTTGAGAGCCCTTATGGTCGTTCTTCTGCAACTTTTAGTGATCATAGTGGAAATAATAGCTCTGTTCTTAGTTCTAGTACTAGCTATTGGGATGATTCTCGGAGTAGCGTTGATGTTATTGAGCATAAGCCCTCTATTTTGCAAAACCCAATTCCGGAAAACTTTGTTTTCCAGTCAAAGGCCAAGTCTCAGTTTTTGTCGAATGGGAATGGATTGGTGGGTTCTTATGTGAGTGACCCTATGGTTTCTAATTTGTTTGGTGAGAATGAATTGGTGTTGCAGTTTAACAGAGGGGTAGAGGAGGCTAGGAAGTTTCTTCCTAGAGGTCAATTGATTGTTGACGTTGAGAATAACAAGCCGTACACAGTGGCGAATGGAAAGGCTGAAAATGTGGTGGTTAAGACGGAGAAGGATGAAGGCGAGTATTTTCCTACTAGTTCGAGAGGAAAGAAGAGTCATGAGAGGGAAGATGCAGATTTGGAGGTTGGGAGGAGTACCAAGCAATCAGCTGTTTATGAGGATACGGAGGCTGATCTATCGGAGATTTTTGATAAGGTGCTGCTCTGTGGTGGGGGGGAATCCAAGCCTATTGTGAGTGAAGGTGAAGAAGTCTGTCTGGATGAAGCAAACAAAGCTCTGCAGCAGAATGGGCAATCTGTTGGAACTAGTAACGGAAAGACTCGTGCCAAGAAAAAGGGCGACAAGAAGGAAGTGATAGATTTGAGGACCCTACTGATTTCATGTGCACAAGCTGTTTCTTCTGATGATCGTAGGACTGCTAATGAGCTACTAAAGCAGATTAGGCAGCACTCTTCCGCATTTGGCGATAGCTCGCAGAGGTTGGCTCATTGCTTTGCAAATGGCCTTGAAGCACGGTTGGCTGGCACTGGAACTCAGATATATACTGCTCTATCTTCTAAAAGAACGTCAGCTGCTGATATGCTGAAGGCTTACCAAACTTATTTTGAAGCCTGCCCATTCATGAGGGTCGCGATAATCTTCGCAAACCAAATGATTTCAAAATTAGCTGAGAAAGCAGAAACACTGCATATTATAGATTTTGGAATCCTCTACGGTTTTCAATGGCCTGCTCTCATCCATTGCCTCTCAAGAAGAGATGGTGGGCCTCCAAAACTACTACGCATTACAGGGATAGAGCTTCCCCAAAGTGGTTTTCGACCTGAAGAAAGAGTCCAAGAGACAGGGCATCGTTTGGCAAAGTATTGTGAGCGGTATAATGTTCCTTTCGAGTACAATGGCATAGCAAAGAAATGGGAAGCTATCCAATATGAGGAACTCAAAGTCAAGAGAGATGAAGTGCTTGCTGTGAATTGTCTGTTCCGGTTTAAAAACCTACTTGATGAGACAGTTGTGGTAAACAGCCCAAGGGATGCTGTTCTAAATTTAATTAGGAGCATGAATCCTGATATCTTTATCCATAGCGTCATTAATGGATCTTACAGTGCCCCATTCTTCGTCACACGCTTCAGGGAGGCTCTATTCCACTTCTCTGCATTGTTTGATATGTTTGATACCAATATATCTCGCGAGGATCAGATGAGATTGATGTTTGAGGAAGAGTTCCTTGGACGAGAGGTTGTAAACACAGTAGCCTGCGAGGGCTCTGAGAGAGTTGTGAGGCCTGAGACATATAAGCAGTGGCAGGTTCGGAACATGAGGGCTGGGTTCAAACAGTTGCCATTGGACCGTGATCTCATGAACAAAATAAGGGCCAAGGTGAAACGGGGGTACCACCGTGATTTCATGGTTGATGAAGATGGGAACTGGATGCTGCAAGGATGGAAGGGCAGGATTATCTACAGTTCCTCCTGTTGGGTACCGTCTAGGTCTAGGTCTTGAAATGCATGCTGTTTAGAACTGAATTGACTTGCACAAATAGGCTTCTGTAGTTCTATACAGATGTATAGATAGTGCTGTATTTTGCAATCACCGTGCTGTCTAGGTGACAATGTACTGGTTGCTAATCGGTAACTTCTAGCACTGCATAATTTCGTATTAGAAATCTGATTAATGATGAACTATTGTAATGTTAAACATTGTAGTTTTCGTTTTGTATATATCTCACTTGAATCTAATCGTCAAATAAACGCAATTTTTTACTTCTATGGAATATGCCCCGGAGGATTTGGTTACCCTTTTCCCGTTCATCCAAACTTTTTCTATGTCATATAATAAATAAATTTAAGTAGAAAATGCGTTGCATTTTATTTTTTTCAATACAAGTTATATAGTCATACATTATGCGTTTTAAATATCTAGCGATATTTAGAACATTGACAACATCGTCAACCATAAATAAAAATTAAAAAAAAAAAAATTGCGTCAGCTTTGAATGGTGTTCATTGTAATCGCCATTGTGGTTTTGATTTGAGAACAAAAGGCAAGGAGATTACGGTGGCAAAAGGGTGCTTAGTCCACGATGTCCCTTCTATCGTACTCATATCCTTATGTTCTTATGTGTGCGTGCACCAACACGTTCACACGAGAGAACGAAAGCGACATGAGAGTGCGAACGCCGAGAAGAAACTAGAACGCTGCTGACTGCATGCGGTCCCATGGCCTTGCAAATTGCAAGTCGGCTCTCTCTAATCTCTGTCGAGGTCCAAATCACTTGCACATCTCATAAGGTCCCAAAACAAATGAACTAATCTCTAGTTGGATCAATTATTTTTTAATAAAAAAATGAACATTAAATTTGTTGATGCAAAAAAAGCCGCTCAACCAAGTTGGGTCAAAGTCAAACAAAGCTCAAGTACGGATTTGAGCCTCTTTTTGATCTTTCATGTAGAGTGATTGAGTTAGGTCTATATTTAATGAGCTTTGTATTGACAGATAAGAGATTATCTATTCTCTATTGCTTCTCATTAATGCAGGGTAAGTTGATCATGTTGTTCGTTATGAACGCCTACTTAGATCATCTTTCTACTTGTGTGCGTATCTAAGTTCTATGTGTTTACACGGACATTAATTTGTATTAGAAATTTAGAAGTTAGAACAACCGAGTTTGACAGTTCCTGATTGTATTTGGAGCCGTTTCCTATGTGCTCGGTGGCTACATTGACGTTGTTGAACTTTTACTTGGCTCAAAGAAAAAACCTAATACAAATTAACCTTTGACCAATATTAAGTTCTCAATGTGATGCCACATCAAGACATGCACATAATTTCCGAGGCTTTCTGTCGACCATGCTATGTATTTGTTTGTTTATTTACTAACGAATTATCAATTAACAGACAACATATTTTGGGAAGGGGCGGATTTTTGCTTACCACTTTAAATTATGATGTATGTTCACTATATATTTCATCATCTGTAACTGTGGTTAATTTTTTTATTTTTTTTATTTTTAAATTGGGAAAGGAACATTTAATATTAAAGTTAATCAGAGTTAGTTGAAAGGACACTTGTCAAATGATGAGGTGTATGATGAGTATACACCACAGTTATGGTGGTGAGAAAAAATGCTCCCTTTGAGGGGTGCTACCGACATTTTTACTAACCTTTGGATTTGGATATTTACACTTCTTTAAATACCACGTGTCATTTTATTACACAAAAAAAAACAAGATATTGACTAGGAATTAATAATGAAAAATAAAAAATTTAATTTCAAAAGACATTAAAGGTCCTTTTATTATTATTTTTTTGTGTGTGTAAACAAGTGTCATTTAAAGAAGTGAAAATGTCCAAATACAAATATTGGTGCCAAGATTGCTAGCATTTTTCTCAATTTAATAATTTATTTTATCTTTTTGTTGATCATTTTCCCTGTTTATTTGAATAAAATTTCTAAGGCCCCGAATTTTGATAATCTCTCATATTTTTGAAACATCAGTCCGTTTTCTTGAGGCCAAAGCAACACGTGAGAGATGCATATTGTGTTTTGACCTTTACCATGATAAGAGGGATTAAGAAGCAAAATCAGTGTTTTCTTCTGATAAAATAATAAGGAAAGCAGCACCTTTTCTGTTATCATCAACCTCTATTTTCCACCCGATTAGATCACAATCAGAAGACATCAATTTTTAATGTTATTCACAGTATCATGATAATGTGAACGGGGTTAAGGAAATGATTAGTAAATTAATTAAAAAAGATGAAAGGAATAAGCATTCGTGCTCTTCAAGACAGAGGCTTGCTTCTCAAGTCAAGTTTCTTATGAGTAACCGGTGGCTTTTCGATCACGGTAGTCTTGAGCTGGTTTGACCATGTCAAAGTTGCAAACAAGCAAACAGATACACCTCACAAAATATTGGATTTTTCAATTTTTTTTCTAAGGGTTGGAAAGTCAACCTCTAACTCTCATAAAATACCCAAGATATATTGCAAATTTACATCTAAAATGTGTGAAGGTATTGTAAGTGTGTGAAAGTGTGAGCAGACTGAAATATGGGCATCAACATTGGCTTAAGAGAATAGAGCGCAACGTATTTCGATGGAGTTATCTTATGTGTAACCGTTAAATGTATCGTGTGGTTGTGTAATATTCACATAATTTTGGATACGCAAGGCATATTGTATGTAAATTTTTATCGTTTGACTGAGCTTATAGCTTATGAGTTGGGTAACTCTCACCTTCCTTCCATGTTCTCTTTCCAAATGTATTCGAGTTATCATTCAACACTGTTGGTATCGCGGTACTTGGGATACTACTTTTGATTTTGTGTAATTTCTACCTCAGTGGCAATGTCTATCCCATTGTTAACAACGATAGTTGCTCCTCATGAAAACAAGTGGTGTTCTTGGTCTTATGTTTTGGGCTTTTGTTTCGATGGAACTGTTTCAACATACTTTGTAGCTTTCAATAGATCAATCATGTTATGGGGATTTTTTGACGATCTGTAGAAGTAAATTGTTATGTTGATATTGAAGCGCGAATTTCCTTTTTTGTTGATTGTGTGTATTTTCTCCTGTTGAAGTCAGTTTTGAGTTCAAAAATTTATCTTATGTTGGAATTGGTTCCTTTAAATAAATAAAAAAAAAAAAAAAACCAGCTGTGTACATATCCAAATCATTCACATTAATTTGGTGTTAGTAATTTAATTTCAAACAGATTAAATCGAATCGATTTATAATAATTAGTTTGATAACAATTTTAAAGTAAATTGTAGCAATGGTCCCTCAACTAAAAATCCATTACCATTGGTCCCTCAACTTATCAAAATGTGTAGTTATAGTAATTTTCATCAATTTTGTCACAATTTTGTCAAAATAAGTTATGTTGGAATAACCATTTATATAATAAGGGTCCCTCAACTCATCAAAGGGTGTAATTATGGTTATTTTCGTCAACTACGTCAATTTTTTTGTCAAAATGAGTTATGTTAGAAGGACCATTGCTATAATTAGGTTAAAGTTAAGAGACAATTTCTCCAGTTGAATTAAAGTTGAGGGACCAATAGTATGAATTAAGTTGAAGGACTATAACTGTACGTTTTAATGAGTTGAGAGATCAATGGTAATGAATTTTTAGTTGATGGATCATTGCTTCAATTGAGTTAAAGTTAAAAGACCATAGCTACAATGTACCCGTAATTTTAAAACCGATCCAATCCGGGTATGTCAAAACTCAAAAGTAAGCAAAGTTCTATAGAGTGAACTGTTATTTTAAGAATCTTCCACTCTCCATGTCCCATTACCATATTCTGCAACACTGAAGAACAATAGAGAAGTACAGAGATTATCGAAAGAAAAGCAAAGGACAGAGTGGGACCAAGTCCATGGCTGCAAAGTCAAAACATGTGCATGACTAATTCACGGCCCGATCCACCCGGTTGCAAAGAGTGTTCAGGGCTCTCCCTGACTGACACATGCTATGCTTCTCCAAGAAAGTTCTTGACGCCACTCACCCCCACCAGTTTATGCATATCAGAAAACCTCTTAATTTGGTTCCCCGAACCTAAAGACGGCCGCCTTTTGTTTTCACGTCTCAACGTTTTTCTTCAAGGTACGCCAGTACTTTTCTGTTCATGTTGTTCTCTGTCATCCTATTCAGTAAAGGTTCGATCTTTGCTTGTTCTTAGAGCCTTCCACTTCAAAACCTTTGCTTCCTGTGCAATAAATCTGCAAAAACTCTGATGGGTTTTTGAGGTTTTTCGGTTTTGCTTCTTATTTGTTCTTGCTAGCATGCTTTGTTCCTTATGGGGTTCCTTCTGAATTTCTCTGTGAGATTAAATCTTTAAATTTCATCACTTTTGTGGGTAGAATCTTTAGTTTTAGAAGGTTTTAGAGTTTAGAATTGTACCCAGGTACTGTGTTTTTCTGTGATCGTTATGGATCATCCAACTTTCAACGGAAGTCCTGATTACATGAATGGTTTCAGTATTGATGATCTAGCCTTCTCACCCAATTCAACCCAATTCTCAAATCTCACAAATGAATACCAATTTAACCAGTTCTCTCCGGATCTTAACTTTATGGACAATCATTTTTCCCTTCCACCCGATTTCGAACAGGGTAATATTGTTCCTAAAGTTAGTTTGACCACAAGTGGAGAGTCATCTGTTCCATCTAATAGTTTGAGTCCACCTGATGGAGGCTCTTTGTCTCTGCCTACGGCTGTGAGCGTCGGAGGAGTAGACAGTTCCTCCGATGACAATGATTTCTCTGAAGCTGTTTTCAAATACGTAAACCAGATTCTTTTGGAAGAGAACATAGAGAAAAAGCCTGGCATGTTCTTTGATCCGTTGGGTCTTCGTGTGACCGAGAAATCGTTCTATGATGTTCTTGGTCAACAGTACCCCTTTTCACCCAATCAGCAACCACTTCATATCAATCCGAATGTTGAGAGTCCCGATGGTAATAATTCTGGGAGTTGTGGTGATTGTAGTGGTAGTAATAATAGTCCTAGTCCTGGTACTAGCAATTCCATTGATCCTCAACGGGTTGGCGATTCGGGAGATCAAAAATCTTCTTTTCCAGAAACTACCCTTCCCAATGACAACCCTTTCCAGTTCACTTCACATTCGAGTTCACAGTTATCTGTTCCTCTGGAAAATCGCATGACTAGCGTTGGTGATGGGCAGCATGTTGGTGGTGGGCAGCGCCTTGATGATATGCTACAGGGCTCCTCCGTAGAAGAGTTTGTGGCTCAGAATATATATA